TGAGAATTTAATCATTAAACTAGAAGAAGGAAAACTTATTAATTAAATTCTTCTTTCGTTTTTATTTCTTTTTTTTTTCTAGTCACAAAAGGAAGTTATGTTCTGATTCGATAATCCCTTTCTAACTCTATTTGATAAATAAACCCACCAACAAATTTTAAATTTGTTTTGTTTAAAGAAATATCTACGATTTTTTTCAATAAAACTTAATGGAAAAGAGAGGGATGTATATTGTGTTAACAATAAACTAAAGGTAGATGATTATAATAAGTGTGATGAGTAGTCAAAAAGTTTAACAACACACAAAAAATAGTAATGTAATGGTATTTGACAGAGTAAAAACTAAAGAGTTATGTACTATCAATTCAAAAACAGAATAAAAGAAAAAATGCATTAAATAACAACCAGAAATTTTGTCATTATTAACAATAAAAATAATTATTACAAAATCTAGTTTATTCAAATAAAATTAAAGGAGAGTTAAATTATCATTGAAAAAAATATTATATCAAGTGAAATTTATTCTTAAATTTGAAGAAACCTTTAAAGGGATTATTTAAAGTAAAGAAAAAGTTTTATTTAAGTAGATTATATCTTATCTTATTCATGAAAAGAGTGAAGAGAATAATACAATAATACAAAAGAATTGTTTAAATTATAAAGAATGAAAGAAAATAAAAAAAAAATAGAAAAAAAAACTAATAAAAATAGTAAGAAAATGGAAAGTGATAAAGACTTACAAATATCTTCTATTCAGCTTGAACCTAATGAAAATGAAGAGAAAATAAAAGAAGATAATGAAATTGAAGAACATGAAAGTATTGAAATTGATAAAGATAGTAATATTAAAGAAAATGCTGTATTTAAAATGACTGAAAACATTATTGAAGAAGTTCAAGATGAAGGTATTGAAGTGACTGAAGAACAAACATTACAAGATATGATTTTTATGTTACAAGGAATTCCACCATTATATTTATTAAAAAATAATAAATTTCCTCCACTAACACTAGAGGTTGTTCCATTACTTTCTGAAGTATCAAAATTATTAATTAAATTGAATAACAAAAGAGTTTTTTTTAATCCACAAAGTTTTGTACAACGTTCAGTATGTTGTACAGCGAATGACATTATTAGTGAATATTATCAATACATTGCACATATTGATTCAGAGTTACATCATTCAGAAATGATTACAATTCTTGATATGTATCGTCATGGATTATGGTGTAAAGATATTATCATTACATTAACCGATATTATAGATCAATGTATGTTAGTTAAAGGAGGTCAATTATTAACATACCTTGATGAACAAACACATTCTCCATATCAAACAAGAAAAAAGATATGTATAAGAATGTTACAGAATGGTACAATACCAATTTATAATATGATATATGATTGGGTTCTTCAAGGAACTTTTAATGACCCTTTTCATGACTTTTTCTTAACATTAAAATCTACACCATCATTACTTGAAACAACGTATTTACAAAATCAATTAGTTCCTTCTTTTCTTAATTCTTATAAAAATGATATTAAATTTGTTGGTGAAGCAACTACTTTCTTACAAAAAGAAGGTGAAGATATTTCTGATTTAATTTCATTAATTGAATCAAATAAAAATGAGTTCATTATTTCATCACCAACTTTACCATCATTAATTCATTCTTTAAATACAATGGCACACCAAAAAGCAGTAAAATTATTAACAGAAAAATATACACCATTAATACATACTCAAAATATTAAACAATACATATTACTCTTTAGAGGAGATTTTGCAAATACATTTATTGACTCTTTGTCTCAAGCTTTAGTTAATGGTCCATTAAGTCAAGTTGATTTAAATTCATATTTTCATGCAGCATTAACTGTGACAAATACAATACCTGAACGTCTTCATTGTATATGTAAAGGTCAAGAAGTTAATCAAATAGAAACAGATATTTTACTTCATTATGAACTTCCTGAACCATTACAATTAATTATTACTGATAACCATATTCAAAAATATAATGAAATTTTTAAGTTTCTTTGGAAAATTAAATGTATGTCAATTTCTATTGATAAAGCATATCGTAATATGTTTCCATTTTTTATTTTGGCTTCTCAAATAAATGGACTTCCATTATTTTTACATCATTTTAGAATTAAATTTGGAGAATGTGCAAAATTTATGGATGCTTTAGAAGAATATGCATATGTACATATGAAAGAATGTTATGTTCATTTTGAAGATGCATGGAAATCTGCTGTAGATCTTTATGGATTATCATCTATTCATGGAGCATATGTAGAAGAAATATGTAAAGTATTATATATAAGTAATGATAAAGTAAATACTATTTTAAATTCTATCATTGGATTTATTTCTAATGCTGTAGAAAAATTAAATGCATTTATTGCTATCATTTCTGATGAAATTTATCGTCAACAATTTAATAAACAACACATTTCTCAATTTTTATTAACTTTAAAAGAAATGGAAGATCGTGTTAATCTTGAATTAGATAATTATAAAGCCTATTATAATCAATTTATTATGGCAATAGCTTCTGCTGATAATAAACAAACCCGTTTCTTATTACGAAGACTTAATCCAGAACGTTATAATCCACCTGAAATTTCTGAAATTGTTGCAATGGATGAAATGGTTTAATTAATAGTTTTAAAATAGTTTAATTTTTTTAATTTTCACAAAAAAAAAACTATTTGTATAATTAAACTATAAAAAATAGTAAAAAAATTATTAAAGAATAGTAAAATGGAGGAGAAAGAAAAGTGATAAATTACCCAAGGAAATTGGCAACAGAAAGTTGTAAAAGAATCACACAAAACACATATTCAACGAAGTATTTTTTAGATGAACCTTCTTCACTTTCATGAAGCCTTAAAGACATTGTAAAGACAAACATACCTGCACATGAAAATAATGCAGCAAGAAAAGCATTTAATGGATTATGACAGAAGAAAAATCCATAAACTAATACAAGTGCAGCTGTTATTAATTGATAAATAAGGAAACAATCAATCATCTTTAATCGAGAAGGGGTTTCTTTAGAATAGCTTGTTAATAATACTTTAATAAAAGACTCTTCTTGTTCTTCTCCTTTCTTTTCTATATGAGTAGTTCCTTTTTTACTCATTTGATTTATTTGTTTTTTTTTTCAGTTTCAATTTTTTGTTTTTTAGTTTTTTTAATTTTTTTAAATTTAAAATTTTTAAAATAATTTTTTTAGATTAGAAGATAAAAATAGAAAGAGTCTAAAAAAGAAAAAGATGAAAAAGAAACACAGAAATATAGAAATAAAATATAAATTACTTTGGAATATATTTTATTGCTATTGTCGAAAGAGGATTATAAGTAATAATTTTTGAATCAAATGGAAGAATAAAAGAAATAGAATTTAATTTATGAGTTAAAGAGTCTAATTTTAATTGAATATAACTTTCTGGAGAAGATAATTGAATAAAAACAATTCCACCAATTGACTGTTTTATATAATAAGAAATAATAATTGATGGATTATATTTTTTTAATTCTTTAAGAACTGAATGAATTGTATTATTAAATGAAGCAGCAAAAACAGAAGAAGAATTTATATGAATTTGTTTTTGATAGAATGAAAGATAACAATTTTGTAATTGAATTAATTGACTGTCAAATCTTCTAGTTAAATTTAAGAAAGGAAGGAAAGGAGATATTATAGATAAATTAGAATTCAAAAGAAAAGAATTATTTGATTTAAAGAAAGAAGGATTAATAGAAATTAATTGTGAATAATCAAAAGAAATATAAAAATGAAGAAAATGGATGAAAAGATTTTTTAAAGAAATAGAGTCCCAAATGAATCTATATTTAGAAAAGCAATAATAACAATCATACCACATTACATTTTGTTTATCACATAAAGATGAATATTTATGAATTATATGTTGTTTTGTACATTCTTTTTTTATATCATTTTCATTTTGTAATTCAGGTAAATAATCATTTTGAATAAGAAAATTAATAACTAATAATATAATTGTAAAACTATTAAACATTCCATTTTTTGGATTAATTAATTTATTTTCTTTATGAAATTGTTTAATAAAATAAATGAAACTTCTAATTTTTGGATGAATTGAATAATAAGTTTTAATTAATTCACTATTATACCAACCTTCATAATTATTAATTGAAATATCAATTTCATATCCTTTTATTTTACAATTAATAATAGGAACTAATGCCTTGTCTATTATTTGAATATCTGTAATATTTTTATTTAAATCGTTTGAAGTATTATTTAATATTTTAAATAATTGATAAATAATTGAAATATTATTATTTTTATTTATATTATAATATTGTTTAATTATTTCATCATTATTATCATTTTGATTGTATTTAAATAAATTAGGTTTGTCTGTTGTTAATATTGTTATATCAATATCTGATTTCCCATCAAAAAAATCAAAATATGATGATCCATATGGAACAATTTCTCCTTCTATTTTAATTATGTTATTTAATTCTTTAATAATTCCTTCAATAGGTATTCTTCTCATATTATTTTTTAAATAATTACTTTCAATACTTTCTTTTTCTGTTTTAGTTACTTTCTTGTATTTTTGAAAAGATTCATTTGAATTGATTTCAATAAGTCGTTGAAAAAATTCATTAAATTGTTCTTCTTCTTCCATGTTTTATCTTTTATATTTTATTGTTTGTTTTTCTTTTTTGTTTTTTTATTTTTTTTTTTTGTTATATTTAATATTTTGATATAAAATTTTTATTTTCATTTTTATTCTTTATAAAGAGGTATTTTGGCATCAAAATAAATTTTAAAGTCATTTGCTATTTGCTTTTTGGTTCTTTTAATTACATATAATAGAAAATAGTAGGTATATCATTTATTTTTAATAAAAAATTTATTTGAAAGAGTCTTAAAAAGATTTTAAAGAAAAGAATGATTTAAAAAAAATAATATGAACTAAAAATAATTACAATGGAAGAACCTAAAAGAGAATTTCACTTTATCACACAGAAACGAACAATATTAACACTTCCACAACGAGACTTTTCAAGTCAATTTGTTAATGCAAGGAATGGATATAGAACAGTTGAACATCAACGAACAGAAAAGATAAGTGGAATAATTAAACAAATAATTACAACAAAACAAATACCACAAAAAAGTGAATGGAGTTTTTCAGTTCAAACATGTGGTAATTGTGGAGGAACCGTTATTGGAGGAATAACATGTTGTGCATGTGGAATATATATTTGTTCCAATTGTAGACAAACTTATACAATTGATAATGGGAATTATGATATTACATTATGTATGTTATGTTCGGAATGTTTTGAACGAATGGAACAAACGAATTGGTTTGAACAAAAAATTAAAGAAGGAGAAGATAAAGAAGTAGTTTTAATACATTTAAAAGTAACAAAAACATTATTATTATTTGATGAAACATTTAGAACAATGAAAGCATTTGAAGGAGTAGAAGGATTAAATGATGAAAATTTTTTAAAAGAATGTAAAGAAAGATTAAGAGAATTTCAAATTGTTTTAAAAAAAGTAAATGAATTAAAAGAATTGATGAAAAATTTTATAAGTAAATCAGAAGCAGAAAAAAGAATTATACAAAATTTATTTTATATTTGGTCAATGTTTAATAAAGAAAAAGTTCTTAAAGCAATTACTTTTGCTCAATTATTTTCTAAAGAAATTGAAATTGATGAAAAAAAATTAGAAGAAATTAAAGATAGAAATAAACAATTTGAAATTATTGAATTAGAAAATACTGTTATTTCATCTAATGGTGGTGTTCTTAAAATTATTGCAGAAAATATTGATCCTTCAATGAAAGTTATTATTAATGGAATTGATTCAATTCCTACTTTTTATAAAAACTTTATTTATCTTCAAATTCCTAAACAAACATCTTCTAAACCTGATATTAATATTCAATTCATTACAAAATATGGAAATGTTCAACTCTTTAATACTATTTTTTATGATAACATTAAACATTCTTCTTTGTCTTTAAATAATATTAATTCTTCTTCTTCTAAAGTATCTTCTATTAATATTAATAATAATTTGAATGTTCAAACTCAATTAAAATCTCTTGATAATAAAGACAGTTTTAATTGGGTTAAAACTAATTTCTTCAAAAAGTTTAAACAAAACGATGATACTCAAAATGAACTTTCTCTTCCTTCTATTAAATCAAATGTTAATCTCTCAAATAATTTAAATAATAATATGATTGAATCTTTGGAAGATGAAAATAAAAAAGAAATAAAAGACAATGAATTTAAACAACAAGATGAAAAAAAGAAATTATTTGTATTTGAAGATTGTTCAAGTGAATCAAATGATGAAAATAATGACAATGACAAAAAAGAAGAAAGTACTGAAGATGATGAAAGTAGTGAGGAGGATGATGGAGATGAAGAAATTCTTTTTGTTAAAAAACCTGACCAGCAAGTTGAAGAACAAAAAAAAGAAAATAATTTTCCAAAAATTCAAGATGATCAAAGTTCAATACAGGAATTTAATATTAATACAAACACTAATGGATGGAAATCCATTAATGACTTAGATGATTTTGAAATATTAGACATTGACTCAATGGATATTAAAATGGAAATATTAAGTTTATCTCCAAGTGCATTTTCTACTAAAGGAGGACAATTAACAATAAAAGGAAAAAATTTTGGTAATCAACCAATTGTATTTGTTAGAAATAAGAAAGTAGAAGATAAAAAAGTTCTTTCAAAATCTCCTACTAAAATTATTATTATATTACCACCTTTAACTGTTGGACTTGTTACAATAAGAATAGAAAATGAATTTGGTCAATCAGATAGTTGTGTTGATGCTGTTAGGGTATTTGACAATCTCCCTACTCCACAATAAATAATTGCGTAATATAGTTTTTTATTTTTACTTTATACTTTTTTTATCTCAATTCTTTAATTTAATGTTTAACTACTCAAATGTCTATTCTTATTTTTTTCATCCCCCTCCCTTGGATTTAATAAAGTTGTAAATTTCTTCTTTTTGTTTATTCTCTTAAGAAGTACTAAAGACTTTGATAAAATATATTCTTATTTTTATTTATGTTTTATTGATCATTCTCATAAATAAAGAATCTAACTTTTTCAATTTCTTTTACTATTTCTATGAAAATAATAAAGTATGTTATTAAAAACAATTTATCTTAAATTGAAGTATTGTATAGTTTTATTTTGAAATAAAATTATAGTTTTTTAATATAGTAAAAAAGAATAATAAAATAAACTAAACATTGATAATTTGCCCTTTCATTTCTCTTTAATCATCAAATACACGATAATGGCTAAGGTTATTCCAGTTGGGTATAAAAATTATTTAAAACGAGTCTCAAGTAATGTCCAAAAAAATATTTTTGCGTTGAAACAAATACAACAAAAAATGGACATGGAAGAAATGAAAACAATAGAAACTCGTTTTCAACAAACTCAAAAATTATTATCTCTTGAGAAACCAATCACAGATAGGATTGTCTCTCTTATTAATGGAACTACTCAGGCTGATAAAACAGTTGACTGTTCATCAATTAAAGTACGTCCAAATCCATCAAAACACTTTAAAGGAATTCCTGCTTTTTGGCATAGAATTTTTATTATTGAAAACCTTTCTGATGAATCAGATATGAAATGTGATAAGGAAATTTTAAGAACTTTAAAGGATATTCAATTAAATAATAATTTAAAAGCTGACACTGAAAAAGGAATTATTCTTCACCAAAGAACAATACAATTTGATTTTGATGAAAACCAATACATGAAACCACAAAGTGTTTCTGTTCAATTAAGCTTTAACAGTAAAATTGGTTCTAACTCTCATGATAGTGCTGAAGTTAAAATTATACAACCATTTGTTTGGAAAGGAGTTAATCCTTATGAAAAAATGGATGTAAATGATTTTACTTTTTTCCTTCCTTTCTTCCTCAAAGATGACATTAAAGAGTATATGTTGTGGTTTAATCGTATTTATGACATCAAAAGTTTTATGGGATCTTCTTTGTTAACATTTAAAGAAAGGTTGCATGATTTAGATGCTAATGATAATGTATCAATGGATGAAGATAGCTATTATGACGAAGAAGATGATGAACCACGGAAAAGAACAAAAGATTGCTCACAAGATTGTCAGCCTAAAAGAAAAGCAACTGACCAAGAATGCAAACACCAATAATTCATTCTTCTTTATTTTATGTATTTCTAATAGAGTCATTATTTTTAATTTGTGTTTGAGTGTCTTTAAAAAATAATTTGTTTTCTTTAATGTATATTCGTCTTTAAAACTAGGTATAAGTTGTTTGTGGTGGTGTATGTTTTGAATGTCCAATTAGTTTATTAAACCTTTTAAATATATTTTTACATAATATATAAACGTTATTTAATTGCTTAGTTAATATCAAAAAAAACTATCCTACTGTATGACAAGAAAGAGTCGTTCCTATTCTTTGTGATTTATTGTTATAGTACTAACAGAGCTTATGATGTTGTATTTATTAATTGATTATTTTACGTCTTCTTTTTGTATTTACTTTAAGTATATGAGATTATTCGTTCTTTATACTAATAAAGTATCACATAAACCACTTATCCAGAATGAAATTTGTTATATTAATTAAAAAGGCTGTTCATTTCTTTTTGACAAACATTAATTCATTCACTTACATTCCTTAATTACTTAGTAAAAAGAAGAGTCAATAAGACATTATAAAAAAGTAAAGAGTCAAATAAAATATAATACAAGATTAACTATCAAACAAAACAAATAATAAATGAAAGATTAACTAAAAATTAGTTAGTTACTTGTTAATAGATTTTTCATATATCCTTTCTTGTTCATTAAAGACTAATCCCTGAGCTGTTTAAAAAAGAGTAATCTTTTTCTTTAACTTATCATTTATGTTTTTCTTGCAAATTGAGAAAATCACTTCTTTGCTTTATTTTTTCCTATTAATGTCTTCTCATCCTTCTTCTTAATTCTTCTTTTTAATCATTTGTTTATTTTTTACCTTAATTTTAAACATTTTCTTTTTCCTTTTTTCTTTATTTTATGAATGAGAGAAAAGACTATTTCATTCCTATTATATTATTGTGTTTAATTTTCTTTTAGTCTTACCCACACTTTAGTACTTCCTTATATTACACCATGTAATATTCTACCATAATATCTTGCTACACCATTTGCAGTTTTACCTAATCCATTTCTAATTCAAATACACCGTCATAACCAGATAATAACTGGGAGTGTCGGTGCTTGAATTATATTAATGTTTGTATAGGTTTTCAGACATGCCACCTTCAATATGAAAGAATAAATGAATAATAAAAATAAAATTCATTTTAGTTGATTGGCTTTTACATTACCTTTTTAATACTCTTTTGAAGTTATATTATAAGTAATGAAAAAAGAAAAAAACTTCTAAGAATTATTCTCAAAACAAAACATGAGACGACAAAGTACAATGAACTTTGAAAAAAACCGAGTTTTTTTACTGGATTGTTTCAAGAACTATCAAAGATAATTTCTGCTTTTGAAAGGAGAATGAGCACAACTCAAAGTAAAAGAGAAGAGCTGGTTCAAGAATTTGAAACAACTATTGGATTAGTTGAGAACCAATTAACTGAAATGTTGAAAGAAATAAAAGACTATAGAGAGTGTTGGGAGAAAGATGTAGAAATGGAACTTTTACAAAATGTACCAAACGAAACTGACCAAGAAAGAGTTGAAAGAATAAAAAGTATAGTTGAAAGGAAGAGAGAAACTGTTAGAAGAAATAAAGTAATTGGAATTAAATCAAAAGAAGGAATAAAAATATTAGATAAAATGAAAGTTATGTATCTAAAAATTAATGCTGTTAGTTCAAATGATAAAGAAACACTTGCTGATCAAATGGACTTTTTAATATCTAATGCTTTAGAGTCTGAAGAAAGACTAACTAAAAAATTAATCATTAATAGTCCAGATAAAATTCATCAATTTGAGGGTGAATTAGAAGATAAAAGAGGATTTTGGGAAAAGAAAAGAGTTCGTAACAAATTTTATTCACTCAATGAGAAAAAACAAATAGAAAAATGGACTGGAAGAAAATTAGGAAATATAATATTTAATTCAACAACAAGCAATTGGAGACATGACATATCCGTATTTGAAGAAAAACTTATAAATAAACAACATCTAATTATTATTATAACAGACTCAGAAGGAAATAAATTTGGAGGATATGTTAATTCTAGAATTGATAAAGTTGGTGATTATGTATATGACCCAAATGCATTTTTATTTTCATTAGAGTCAAATGGAAGATTAAATGGGATGATGAAGTTTAATATTAAAAATCCTAAATATGCATTTTGCTTAGATGATCAATCAGATGACCGTTTATTTTCATTTGGTTATGGTTATGGATTTGGAAATGATATTACCATTTACAAAGAAGATTATAAAACAGAGTCATATTGTAAACAATGGTCATTCAACTACAATGGAATTAATAACCCCCTTTGTTCTGACAAATACTTTACACCAAATCAATTTCTTGTTATTGACATGAAATAACTCTAATTTTAGTTCTTGTTTTTTTTTTTTATTTGTCTTTGTTTCATATTAAACAAATCCCTTTCCTTACTTAATAATTATTACAAACTATATCATTAACTAAAAAGAAGATACATAATAATAAAGTAATTAAATAAGTATTAATAGAAATAGTTTCTATTGTTATTGACTCAAGGTGACTAATAAAATGATTCTTCTTCTAGTAATTCTAATGAGTATGTTTGATTGTGATAGATGCAATATTCAATGATATCTATCATGTTTGTATTACAAGGTTTTTAATTTCTTTCTCGATGTCAATCTCATTTTTTATTTCTTTAATTAATTTATTACTTTCTTTATTTATTATTCAATTATTGAAATTACTACTCGATTTATTTTGTCATCTTTTAGTTTCTCTATTTTCATTAGCTTTTTCTTTAATTCATTATACATATTCATTTTCTTCAAATACACTCAATTAATATTGTGATAATACAATAGTCATATCAAATAATAGACCAGTTTTATTCTTTTTATCTAATACATATCTGATATTTTATGGTATTGTCATTCACTTTTAGGCATTATTTGTTTGTTCAATATCATCGTGTTGTCTTAATATTGAAACATTGTCTCATATTAAATTTATTATTTTATGTATATTTTCTTACTAATAAATATGATAATGAATACGAGTAATAATAAAAAATAAATAAAAAATGTTTATACAACTGAACTTGAAAAATTAACAAGTTATAATAATAACATAATCAACAATTAAAAAATACGAATAAATGATAGAAGGAATTTAAAATAGGAATAAATATGAAAATAAATATGAAAATAATTTTTGATTCAACTTTATTAACACAGTCATTCATTTCATTTTAACACAAAAAAGAAATAAACAACAAATAAATTCATTAAAATAGCTTTAATACTATTTAGAACGAAAAAATAGAAGATTAAAAACAATAACATTGAACAAATATATAATTATATACTGTGTTATAAATGAATTTAGTTTTAGTTGTTATTCTTGTTATTTTATTTATTTAGTTTATTATCATCAATATATACTTTGTTGATGGTAAAGAAATAAATGAAATGAAGTACTTACTGTTATAATTTATTATTGGAATTGCTCTTATGTTCTTTTCTTTTTATTCTATTTTTAATGCTTCTTATATATTTTAGTCAATAAAAAGAAATGTGAAATGAAATAATGACAGTAAGAGATTAGTAATAGATATAAATATTTAAAATGATGAAATAAGAGAAAAGATTGAAATGATATGATATTGAAATGAAGGTATTGTATAAAACATGTAGTAAAATAGATAATAAAAATAAATATAATGAAACATATCAAATTATACAAAATAAGAATAACTCATATATATTAATAAAATACAATGAAAATAAAATGATAAGAAATTAACAAATAAAATAATTAAGAATATAAATATAAAAAAGATATAAATGTAAATAATGAAATTAATGAAAGAAAATAATATATTTGTATTAAATTAACAAATTAATAATTACATCAAATAATAAATGAAATGTTGTGATATTTGTAAATGGAAAATAACAACAGATGAAGATATAATAATAAATCGTATTGTAAACAAGAAAGTACAAATTAAAGATGAATTAATAAATGAAAATATGAAGAAAATAACCAAAAGAAAAAAAAAATAAATACTATAAAGAAATGAATCATAAAATAAATGAAATTAACCATTAATAAAAATAAAAATGATAAAAACAGAAGAAGAATAGAAAATAAATAATCAATAAAATGATATGACAAAAAGATAAAAAGATAAAACTAATATTTATTCATACAGAAGAAATAAATAATAATCAATATGAATTACGAAAAAACAATAGAATAAAATAAAAGTAATTCCAATAATAATTACAATAAATAAACTATCAAACAACAAATTAGTAAGAATATTTAAAGAACAAAATATTATAACTTCAATTTTTAATTGTGATAAAAGTTATAATGAATAATAATATGAAAAAACCTAATTAAATAATGTGAAGGTAATAGATAATAATAATAATAAAGAGATATAGAAGTACTTTGTAAACATTAATATAAAGACAGTGAATGAAATAATCTCTTCTGAGCAAAATGATATATAAAAATTAATATCTACTGAAACTTAATTTAGTACTTTTTCATTTATAATATTCATTCTTTTTATTTAAATTGTAATATTTTAAATACTTATGAATATGATTTAATTCATTATTATATCATAATCTGCATCATTAATTTCATATTTTGTATTCTAAATTTTATGGCAATATATATTGGTTTAATAAATAAATGATATTTATCAATCCAACCTCATTACTTAATCATATTTTATTATCATATTCTTTTCTTTTTTCTTTTTAATTCTGATTTTACTATTTTAGCGGAGTCTAATATTACGTAAACCATTTATTAATGAATTTTTTAATGAATTTTAAAAGCGATTTCCTTATCTATTATTTACATATTCTTAAAATTATATTCATTCAATATCGTATAAATTTACTATTTTGACTCTTTTTCACTAATTTTCTGTGTATTTTAGTTGTTTATGTCTTTTTGTATCTTATTATAACATTTATTT